CACACACACACACACACACACACACACACACACACACACACACACACACACACACACACACACACACACACAGTTATATGTGTGTGTATCTGTGTAGATGTGTATATATAGATATGTGTATGTTGATTTGTTTTTTAACTTGTTATAAAATTTTATTTAAAAATACAAACAATTAACATTATCACATTGGTAGTTATTCTCTTCATCTCGTAAAAGTCATGATTTTGAATTTGTTTTTAAACCGAWTGATGTTTGGACATTGTTTTGTTTAAACTTCTAGTCTATTCCATATTTCGACTCCGGTCACGGTGATGCAAAAACTTTTCGGTCTTGTTTAGATGCTGCAGATTTTTAAAATTCAATGTCCCACTGTAGATTATACCCACCCTCTCTTATATAAAAAGTAAATTTGTACTTTTATATAAATATTGTGCAGTTTGATAGTTTACAATGTCATGGAATTTTAATATTTAGATGTAACAAGCAATGTGTATTCGTGTGTTCATAAAAACCAACATTGTGAATTATTCTAACAGCTGTTTTTTGCAGTGTGAGTAGTGGTTGTAATGAAAACTTTTTTTGTATTACCTCACACGCCAGTGCAAAGTAAGGTTAGACCAATGAACTGCATAGRATGTGAAGTGCCTAGCTTTGGTCATAATCGAAATGGTTCTTTATAATTGAGTGTATTTAATGTGAGACTTAAAACAAATTTTGTCAAGTATTATTACTCCCAGAAATGTAGTTTCATGCACTTTTTCTATATTAACACCTATTATCTGTATGAAGTCATGATGCTTTAGTTCATTGTTGGTAAATATCATGTTTTTTTCTTGTTCTTGTTTGGTACTAGCTTATTTCTGTCAAACCAGTTTTTAATTTTGATGAAATCTAAAGTAATATTTTACAAAAGTTGCTGTAAATTCTCAAAAGAACCTAAAATGTTAGTGTCATCAGCAAACAGAATTCATTTTAAGATTTGTGATACATTACGTATGTCATTAATGCAAAGGATAGGCCTAAATAACTCTGTACCCAGAATAGACCCTTGTGGGACACCGCATACAATGTCCAAACATCTAGACTGAAATCCCCCCATCTTCACAATTGTTTCCTGGTATTTAAATAGCATCTCAACCAGTCTAATGAAAAGTTCCTCCAATCCCTTTTTGTCCACTTAAATATTATTTAGGAGTGGTAAGAGCTGACAGTCATTCACTACAAACACTCAAAGTGCTGTAAAATGTGACATTAAGATGTTGCATGAGCTAATGTTATTTTCAAGGTTCGACCACAACAATTAAAACACAGTTAAAAGATGCTTTTCACAAGATCATCTTTGTTCATTTGAAGCTAAGCAGAAGCTTTTAGTTTTTTTTAATTCAGAATGATAAATGTTTAGTAGTTGTCATCCTCAAAACACAAACACATAATCAGTTATAGAAGCTTCTATATTCATGTTAAAGTTTGTCATTTCAAAGCCGCTTGAAACAGTGTGTTCAGTTGACAGACAGAGGACTGTAATCATATATTACTGCTTGTGGGTGTGGACAACCAGGCGCAGAACCAGTGAGGTGAACGTGCTGCCACACATTCTGAGCTGCAGGCATCGAACATGAATCATGTTTTTCTTCATTCTGCTGGTACGTAAGAAAATCTTGCTTCAATTTTTTTTTTGCTTTCACTTTTTTAAGTTATAACATATAAAGTGTTGATTAAATCTGCTATTATTTTAATGCTAATCGCTGCTTTGTTCATATGATATGGCTGACACCGAGACAATCTCAGACAAAAAAAATAAATAAAAAGCTTGTTACTTTTCCGGTTTTCAAACTGCGACATCCACCAGCTTTTTTACTTTTCGAGTCACGGAGTGCTGCTGCCCATGTCCAGGTGTGGGAACACATCTGGACAGGTCCCAAGTCCATCATAGAGACATATAGAGACGTACAGTCACAGTCCCACTCACACCTAGGGGCAGTTTAGAGTTATATTTCAACCTAAAATGCAAACCTGAGCAGAAGTAGAGTGCATTAAATCCACCCAGAAAGACCAGGGGGCAGAATCTGTGACCCTCTTGTCGTGAGGGAACAGTATCGCCCCATTCTGGGACTAAAACTGTACCGCTTTGTTATCTCTTTAATAGCAGTAAAAAATGTCTTCATGGGAACTGGTTTACAAATTACAGGGAAACAAGCTGCAAATGTTGTTTCCAATGAACAAATCCATTGAAGGTAAAAAAAAAACCCTCAAAAACCACACTGTTCTTCAGGTTCAGCTGCCTGTTTGTGTTTCAGATTTATTTTCTGCCAAGTTCTACTTGCTCAGAGCTGCTGAGCCGTCAAAAGAGGAATCGGATCATCGACTCCTTTGAGATTGAAGAGGAACATCCAGGACCATTCCCCTACGTCCTGGGCAAGGTGAGACAATCAAAAAAGTGGTCTCACTTTGACGGCTGAAAAACGGAACTACATCTAAAACTTTGTCACACCTTCAAACACAATCCCTGTACATACTGTTTATTTCTAAAATTATTAGGCTCTTCTACTGAACAATTCTCCTGCAACTTAAATAAGCCCCTCCTGTTGTCACAGCTTGGTTTGTGTTTCAGTCGAAAATGGACACACCAGTATGTTTTTGTGATTTAAAAAAAAATCTAACCCTTGATAAAGCATTTTTACTGTGACCCACTGTATTCTGCACAAGTCAACTGGAAAAAAGGAAGTGTTGTGAGAAAAACTATAAAGAAACAAATAAAACAAAAAAGAAAGAAGGCCTTATGTACATAAGTGTGCACACTCAACAAATATTTGTCAAAACATCTTCCAAAATATTTAACCTTTTGTGTTTATAAGAAGCAGTCTATCAGCACGCCACACCTTGAAGTGTAAATATTTCACACTCTTCCTTTTTCCTGTTTTTGTTAATTTGATCAAATAACACAGCCAATTTGAAAAATGAAACTCGTTTTCATCTTCAGCTCTCTAGCAGACACCTAAAAGTTGCAGGCCAAAATGCAAACAAACAAACAAACAAACAAACAAACAAACAAACAAACAAACAAACAAACAAACAAACAAACAAACAAACAAACAAACAAACAAACAAA